ATTTCCTTTCATTTTCTTTCTTTTTTCGGGGGAAGTGGAGGGAGGGTTTCACTGTCATCGAGGCTGAAGTGCAGTGACATGATCACAGCTCACTGCAGCCTTGACCTCCCAGACTCAGATAGTCCTCCCACCTTAGCCTCTTAGGCAGCTTGGATGCCACCACACCAGGCTAATTTTTTGTATTTTTTGTAAAGACGGGATTTTGCCATGTTGTCCAGGCTTGTCTTGACCTCCTACGCTCAAGGGATCCAGTCCACCCTCCTCGGCCTCCAAAGTGCTGGAATTATAGGTGTGAGCCACCACGTCCCACCTCCTTTCATTTTCATTCATTCTTCTCTCTAACAATTCTAAGTAGGGACATTATTAGTTACTAGAAACATGTCACAATAATTTATTTTATTATTTAAAGATGAATTCATAAGAATAATTACCCTTCTTCTCTTTACATATTTACTTATTTAGTATATATTTATTGAGCCACTGCTATGTGTCAGGCGTTGTTCTAAATGCTGGGGATATAGCAGAGATCAAAACATACAAAAAATCCAAAAGCCAATATATTTTCCAATTTGTGAGATTCAATAAAATATAATTATCACTTAATTGCCCACGTTGACAACAGCTCCCTCACTGCCTTTGCCCTGTGCTCCAGGAGTGTAATGGATTACCTTTAATTCTGCTAGGGTTTGATGATTACCCCAGGTAATGTTTCTCACCGAGGTAATTAATGTCTGGCAGCCTGTGGCTTGAGATATGCATGTGTGGACCCGGAGTGAGCAGCAGGTGGCGATGTTGAGATGGCATTGCTGTAAACCGACTGCTGGATTCAAGTGAAGAGTGAGCCGTATAACTCAAGAATCTGATATACTTCCTGTTCTTTTTAGAATTTCCTAATGTGTTTGGTGAATGAAGCTATTTTTTAAATCACTTAGCAGTATATACAAATAAGTGTCAATTGTCGACAATGACTAATAGCTGATTGGAGAAGAGTTTCTCTAATTATCAGATGTTGCTAAGACTTATGAGAACATGGCATGGAATATGAATATAGCACTTATTAGAATAATGCATCTTGATCCTCCAAAATATTCATCCTTTGGGATTGTAGATTATCTTATTTATTATACTTCTACTATGTTCACAGAAAACGAGCTATGGTTGATATTTATTGATCACCCCAAATGTATTCATCATTGTTAAGGGAATGTAGTTTGAATCAGAGAGAAATATATAATGATTCAAAAACAGAAGGGTGTGAGCCTATATTTATAGGACAGCTGCAACTGAACCCAAAACTGTAAAACATGACTGACGGCTCATAATGTATCATGTCCTATCCCTTCCATTCCCAGGCACATGATTTCACTGAAGAAAGCAAGCAGAGGAAACTGAGGCCAAATCCATTTTCCAAACATGGTCTGATTTTTGGGTGGTCAGCCTGAAAGCAAAGATAAAGCAAAAGTTGGGGTTTGAAATGTAACAATTGTTATAGCTTCCATTGTTTCTGCCATAGCTGTTGAAACTTTAATGTCTTTTAAGAAGATGATGTTGCTTTTGCAAGATATTTACAGTGATGGACAGTAATGCTTATAGCAGCATCATTGTTTCAGATGAAAACATTTAAGCATGGAATTTGATACACCTTTTTTCATTTGTATATACACGTGATATATATGTGATCTTACCATTTTCAAAATAAACACATTTTAGACCCAGCTGAGGAAAACAATTAATTTAAAATGGTCCAGTTGCTATATAGATTGAAATTTTTAAAAACCTGCCCAAGTAGAGTACCTGAAAAATATTATCCAGAAGGAATTTATTGAGGTGATATAAATGAATTCAAGAAATTAGGCTAAATGTTATTTAGATATCAAAGAAAATGTAATTACTTTCAGTTTTATATTTCCTCAGCAGCCTGTCTTAATTTCCTCTTTTTCAGAACAACTCCCCTTTCACTTAGAAATAACTAAAGCCACCTGTGATCCCTCCCTCTCTTTTTCCATATTTGCATTCAGCTAATATATTGTGTTCCTATTCTTCCCATGCATCAGATGGGTACTTGAGCAAATGCAATGGAAGATATAATCCCTGCTTTCCAGACCTTCTCAGTCAAGTTTAGATGAGGGGCAAGGGAACAGAAGGGCACTGGGCTGTGGGAAAGCTGTAATGGAGTAGGCCCGAAGCATTAGGGTACACAGAGCAGGGACCCTTAATCCGGCGTAGGGAAAAAAGAGTCAAGGAAGGCTCCCCAAAGGAGGTGACAGCCGAGATAAGTTTGAAAGGATGGGGCAAGAAGCGTCAAGGAATAGCCTGATGGTACAAAGTCATGCCGTGTTTGGGGAACCTAAGATAATCCAATTTGCTGGGAGTTTAGGGTGTACACCTAAAGTGATGAGAGACAAAGGTTGTAGAAGCAGGTGGGGATATCAGGCAGGGTTCTCAATAGCATGTTAAGGAGTTTCTATTTTATGCTGAACATGTCTTTAAATATGCAGAGATATTTAAGATTGAAAAAGTCATGATGATGCAAACCTCACCACAAGAAGCAGATGATGTCTTAATTTATCCTCTTCCTGTACTCCCTCGGAGAGAATGATGACTGTAGGGTTTAGAAACCTTTGATTTTAGAGCTCAGAGTGCAGGCTATTTAAACCACAGCAAGTATTTGATAAATATGGCTACATTATTAGCATACAATTATTAAAATAGATATATGATAGAAAAAAATATAGAAAAAGGAACACCTTTAACATCTTAAATGTCTCGTGAGAGCCCACAACTCAGTTTATGCCTAATAGTCTGATAATCAAGATGTTCAATTTTATTGTCCTCACTCATCAATACCTTTCACATTTAAGCTGTCAATGAATTTCTAAGTTAAGAGTGTATTAATTGGTTTCTCTTCTATATGCAATATCAGATTGTTGCATTTCTCTATCGGCAGTAAACACATTCTGCCTAGTATTATAGTTATTTCTGGGTAGATTTCTTTTACTAAATTAAAATTTCTTGAGGGTAAGAAACACGTCCTTTTCACTTTGTGTTCACACACCTAGAGCAGTGACTTCTAGTTAGTGGGTATTCAATAATTACTTCAATGACTGAGAGCAGTGAAATATAAACTGTAGATTTTCAAGGCCAATTACATGAAATTGTTCGTAGGAGATTATATCGATCCAAGGTACTTGGGACTTAACCATTTTGAAAGACGATAACTTAATTTCTTTAATATACAAGGAACACAAATTTAAAGCTTCATCTCTGCATCATACCTGAGAAGGCAGATAGTGCTGTGCAAAGGGCTTGTCTTCTACACATAGTGCCTCCTCTGAGACAGCATTAATTGCTTATTTTGTATCATTTCCATAATATTTCTCTGTGCTCCTTAGAGATTATGTCTTGCTTTTTTTTTGAGACAGAGTCTTGCTCTGTCGCCAGGCTGGAGTGCAGTGATGCAATCTCGGCTCACTGCAACCTCTGCCTCCTCGGTTCAAGCAATTATTCTGCCTCAGCCTCCCAAGTAGCTGAGATCACAGGCGTATGCCACCACGCCCTGCTAATTTTTTTGTATTTTTAGTAGAGGCTGGGTTTCACCATGTTGGCCAGGATGGTCTCGATCTTTTGACCTCGTGATCCGCCCACCTCGGCCTCCCAAGAGAGAGATTATATCTTAATCTTTGTGATGTCACATGTGGTCAAAAAACTTGTGTTAGATGAATAAATGGCCATGTGACAAACCAATTTACATTTTGAGCTTGAGTTTTCTCTTTTCTAAAATCAGTCTAGTAATCCTTATCTACTTCAGAGAGTATCAGTCAATAATAAAAGTTCTTATAATTGGTGATAAATTATACACAATCTTTTTGGGATAGAGTTGGAGTGTGAAATAAATGGAATTGTAGGGTATTAAGTGAAAATTAGAAATGTTTGATAGCATGACACTTTGCCAAAATAACAGTAGATTTTGGAGCCAGAATGCCTGAGTATGAATCTGATCTCAGACATTTATTAGCTCCAAGACCCTGGACAATCACTTAACTTTCCTGTGCATTTGGCTTTTTTAACCTGTAAAATAGAAGTACTATTGGTACCTTACAGGGTCATTGTGCTAAGTAAGTTAACACATGGCTAGAGCACAGAACTGCTAAGCACTCACTAAGTGCTAGCCATTATTTTGTCTTTATATATGAATTTAATACTGCACTAGCCACTCTAATGTGATTTAATGCTTTTGCTCATTTTCATATTCCCAGCACATAGCTGAGTACACAGTCCATAGATTTCAGTGTTTTCTTGAATAAGTGAAAAAATAAATGCTTTACACATTATAAATGGACATTTTCTGTATTGATATTCCCAAGATCACCTTAAAGTCATTTAGGTCAACTTAGAGAAAAGAAACCAGAAATTACAAATAGTGACTAGCTGTCTAAAGTGCTATTGAATGGGTCTAGTTGTACTTCTTGCCTCAGAACAAGAGATGGTCAATGTGTAAACTTTCTCCACTTCTTGTTGATAAATGCTTCAGATACTTACCACTTTTAATCCCAAACTCCTTTTATTCCAGTGTTTTCTCAGCTTTTCAGATTAGGAGACAAAAGGCTTCCATAGGTGCTAATGGCATTTAATACCTCTCATTAATACCATGAATTCACCCTGGAACAAAAAGGGAGCTCTGGGGTCCAGCAGCAACTGCCCTTGACAGGCAAGCAATAAGCTGGAGCAGCAGTAGGGGACAGGAAGTATTGGGAGCTTAAAAATCATATCACCCTTATACCGAGGTGTTCATGGCATTTGAAAGGTTGGGCAGATTTGGGCAGAACATGAATTAGGAATCAGTTCCCCAGAGTGGGAACCACCAGAAGTTATCTCCGGTGATGTATAGGAAAGGAAATGGAAGTTTTTGGTCTTTGTAGTGAAACCCAAGGGAAATCTGAATCTCTCCAGGTAATGGAATCTGGTGCTCTAATTAGAAGCACTAATTAAACTTTTTGTGTTTTTGGTAGTTACAAGCATTCCTACAAAATTCTCTCCAGCCACCAGACTCGTGGAAGGGAATTTTTTAGGTTTGGCTGTTTTCTTTCTGTTGTTGTTCCTGCTTAATTGTCTCTCTTCAAATTGATTAGTCAAGAAGCAAACAGTATTACTTATTAAACACCTTTTGTGAAACAGCATGATAGAATTATGCTAGATGACTCATGGCTCTTGTTTGAATTCATCCTGTAGATATTTTTAAAAGAATGAAGCGTGCCATGTCCTGGTACTATCTCTATTTGATTTGGTGTAGGCTGCCTTGGGTCCTGTACTAAACAAGTGAAAAAGGAAAGGTCTTTATTAGTTTCATAAAGAACAAGCACCAAGCAAGTCCTTAGTCTTTACCAAAACAAGGCCAAAAAGAGCTGATTCATTTTCTTATTTGCCTAGAAACTGAATAGTACGTGTAAAATGGTCAACAAGAGCTGGGAACCAGAGGGATAAAATAGATTTGTCCTGTGTCGTTTTTTTCCCAATCCAGTCATAGTAGCTTTATTCGACTTGCACATATAAGGTTTGAAGAAAGAGGAATATGTGAAGGAAAAAAGACTAAAGGGAAAACACTCCTTCCAAAGGAGTTTATATGGGGGTCACAGTGTTCTTATTGCCACAAATAATATGTTCTGTACTGTGTGTACAGCAGAGGGAGTCTTTCCAGGTTGGATCCTGTATCAGGTTCTTTATGGATACACTACATAGAAAAGCACTCAGTTCTATTTTGGGGGTAGATTAAGTGAAAGCAATGATACTTAGATCATTTCTGGAGCTGGCACATAGTTCTCATCAAGTTCTGCATAAGAATAAGAGAAATGAGTTTACGTATAATTCAGACAATCACAGACAGTGTAGTCTTCTTGAAAGTAGCTTTCTGTTAAAGTCCAGAAATTTAACTCTTATTTCTGTGTCTACAGATTATTCCTATTAGGGTTTGGTTAGAATTGAGGTCCGCATGCAGCCCGTCTTACCAATATTCTACAAATGTGTTTGGTGAGCTAATGAAGGAATAAAATCACTTACCTCCTTTCTACTGCTCTAGTTCTATTAAGTGTAATACGTAGAACAATGTATAGTAAATATTTTCTTTACATATTTGAGAAAAATCTCTAGAAGATAACTTGGCTATTTTGATTCTCAGTTCTGGGTTTTCTTCGTCCTTCACGTATCATTCCCTCTTTCTAGTGAATGCTTAGTCTTTCAATTTATTTCTATTTTATTAGGAAGTAATACTTTCATTGTAATATTCAGGAAGGGGTGGAGTGATATCATACATGCATCCAATGACCTTGTGGCTTTAGCATCTAAGTCCAACAAAGATGAGAACAATGCCTGAGCATTTGAGAGTGGCAGATGTTCAGTGGGGCCACAGAGGAAGGGCCCATGTGGGATGAATGACAAGCACCAGGTGGCCATGCTCTTCTCAGTGACTTTTTAAAGATGGGTTCTATCATTCAACATTTAGAGTAACAACCAGTGTTTTCCGAGTACCTACTACATATCTAACATGAAACCCACTTACTTTTATACATTTTTCTTTCTAATTCTCAAAACAACAAACATAACATGTATTAGGGTGATAGTGGCTTAATTTTAGAAATTGGAGTTAAATGTGTAGGCAAGAAAAAGCACTTTGGAATTTTCCATTCTTTCTCCATTCACACTGAAAACTTGAGAATTATCATAAGGGAAGAAAGGCAAAAAGGCTCGGACATTTACATACAGACTTTCCCTTTATTTCTTCCTTTAGTGTAGCTCAGGGTTCTCAATTCTAAATGTGAATGCATGTTACTATATGTACTAATTTCACATATATTAAACTTTAAGGATGATTTAAGGGAGTTCAAGATGATCTTGACTATGCCAGGTTTTTGCTTTAGGCATTGACTTTAACCCCCAATTAACAACAAACTCCACTTATTCAAAATAAGCAATGTGAATTTTAAAATATGTTTTAAAATTTCAGAAACAGTGGTTATTGGCAAATGATGTTTCAGTGGGTTATGGAAGGATAGAGAAAGTCATTGAATCATCTTCTTCCTTTTTTTTTGGAGACAGAATTTTACTCTCGTTGCCCAGGCTGGAGTGCAATGGCGCGATCTCGGCTCACTGCATCCTCCGCCTCCCAGGTTCTAGTGATTCACCTGCCTCAGCCTCCTGAGTAGCTGGGATTACAGGTGTGTGCCACCAGGCCCAGGTAATTTTTTTGTATTTTTAGTAGAGACAGGGTCTCACCATGTTGGCCAGGCAGAGGTCTCAAACTCCTGACCTCAGGTGATCCTACCTACCTCTGCCCCCCAAAGTGCTGGGATTACAGGCATGAGCCCACCCCTTCCACCCTTCCCTGAATGTTATAATAAAAGTATCACTTCCTAATAAAATAAAAATAAATTGAAAGACTAAGCATTCACTAGAAGGAGGGAATGATATATCAAAGACAAAGATAACCCATAACTGAGAATCAAAATAGCCAAATTATCTTACAGAGGTTTTTCTCAAATGTGTAAGGAAAATATTTACTATAAATTGTTCTATGTATCACACTTAATAAAACTAGAGCAGTAGAAAGGAGGTAAGTGATTTTATTTCTTCATTACCTCAACAAATACATTTGTAGAATACCTATTGGTATGATGGGCTGCATGCTGACCTCAATCCAACTGATGCCCAGCCAATCATCTTTTCTATCATCAACATCTTGTTGTACTTGGCTCCATTGCCAACTACAGGAAAGCAAAATAATCAGATAAAGAAGAGTTCTTCAGGTTCAAACTTTCTTTAATTAAGTTCTCTTTCTTTTACAGTCCTATAGTATTAGAGAAATCTCTCAACCTTTTTCTGTATTTTTTCTAACCTATAAGAAGAAAAGGTAGAGACATATTTACAATAAGTAAGTTTTAAAATCCCTCCTTTCCACCCAAAATTATAACTTTCTCTGAAATAGCCCTTCCTTCTTAAGTCTTCCAAGGTAATCCTTTGCCACATGGCACTACAACCCAGGGTTTAAGAGCAGTGGTCTCAAAGCCAGAAAATGGGATATAAATTGCAAATCTGCCCCTTGATAGAAGAGTTACTTTGTGCAATTTACTTAACCTCTCTGAGACTCAGTTTTCTCAGTCATATAATGGGGATAATTTCTTAATTCCTCTTAGAACTGTTAAGGGGAATATGCCTGGAACTATGCAGGCATTCGATATTCGTTGACTAAATAAGAATTGTGCAACACACAGTATTGAAGCAAGCACGTAGTTAGTTCTTATTAAACTAGAGTTATTATTATAACTTCCTCTTCACTGCTAAATAAATGAGAATGATTTTGTTTTAAACATTCTAAATAAACAGAATTGCAGACTTGGTAGACATGAGGACATTGGTGGGAAAAATAGAATATCAGTGTATAAGTAGTAAGGCACTGTTTGAGTGATTTCATTTGTAAATTCAAATTTTGCCCAGTTCCAATTCTGCCACTGGAGCTCACCCCGTGAGGTGGCAGCAGGCACAGGGTCATGAGTGCATTCGTGCACCTCCATAACCAGAGCCTCCACACTTGGCTTCACCTGTGTTGCTCCAGCACCAGCTCATCCTTGCTCGCCTGGTCTCCTTCAGGCCTTAGTGGTACCGGACTCATGAGTCTATCTGTTCTCATTACTTCTGGTCTGGGATCCTTACCTAGTCTTCTATGAGGTCTTCCCACTCCATTGGTCAGCTCCTGCCAAGCTCACTGGCTTCCAACTCAGCAACCCAGGGCAGCTACACTTCAAGGCCTCTGCCTGACTACACAGCACTGCCCAGCTGACTGTGTTAGGATTATTTTTCAGATTGGAATAGAACATTCCATAAGGCGACTTCTTCCAATAGTGCGAAAGGCCAATGTGGCAAGAGCTCCCATGCCATTCAGATTTTCTTCAATGTACCTAATACATTTGTTCTCTACGTTGAAATTATTCCTAGAGACATCAGATGAGCTATCAGGAGACCTTCAAAGATGACTGTACTCTGCTTTCTGTCTTTCTCCTCATATTTCCACAGTCTTCTTTCATTGCCTTTATATCATGCACTCCTCCATCTAAATGCCAACTAAGCCTTAATGGTCCAATGGCTAACTCCTCTCTAGTTTATGTTAATTCTATAAGCATAATCCTGCATGCTTGGTTGTTGATCTGCTAATAAAGGAGGGAAATAAAGGAATTTTAAAATCTTCTCTCAAGACAATATCTTGGTTTGTTTTTTCTGCATAATCCTATTTCTGCATGTCAGAAGCTAAATATTACCTTGGTCTTATTCTTTGCACTGCTTCAGAACAAAATTCTAACCTCTTTGAAGACAGATGGATGCCTTGGATGAATTAGGCTGAAGATCTTATATCTGCAAAAGCAAGAGAAAAAAGGGTCACTCATAATTTCTTGAATATTTCCCTACAATGTTTCAAGAGCAAAGTGGAATTTACTGGGAAATTTCCTCTAAAGAATATTACAGAAACATTTGGGCCGTAAAAGCCTGCATAATCTCTTTAAATAACTCATCTATTATTTGTATACAGTACAAAATGCACAAAATAAACCAGACCGACTCTCCAAATTCTATGCAGTTATAACTCTTTGTGTTGTATAGATACATTCTCAATGTAAGCTATATTGGTGATTTTATGGTATTGACATTTATTTATATTGATCTAAGCTATGATTGGTTTCCCTAAATGGAGCCTTAAAAAACTATACAGCTTTTTTCCAACAATCTTCAAAGATTAAGATTGTTGTTTTCTGTTATAATGAAACTAATAAATTGTTCAGCCTGGTTTAATTGCTAGTGTTTCTTGTACACAATGATGTACATTTTAAACTAGAAAAGCAGAAAATTATGTTTTCTTTGGCAGGCATTTGATGTACTTGGAAGAGTTGAAGCTTACCTTAAGCTCCTTAAATCAGAGAGTTTAAGTCTGGCTGTTTTGGCAGCGAGGCATGAGGAATTACACAGAAAAATTAAAGACTGCACAGCTGATGCTTTGCAAAAGGGACAAACCGTAATCAGCCAAGTAGCCTCCTGCAGGTGAGTCAAGTCTATTTCTTCCTCAGTGTAAAAAGCTTTTTCACAGCTTCCACAACCTATTAAAAAAGATGCATGATTGTCTTTTTCTGGTTCAGATGTTTTGCTGCATTATGATATGGCTTAAAAGGATCTAATGAAGTTTGATCAACAGCTATTCTGAACACAGCCATTGCTCATCCAGAAGTGAGGCCATATTCTGAGCCTGGGGACTTAAATATGCTAAAGCTTTCTGTTTACTTGGTTCTGAGGAGGGGAAAGGGGATGGAAAAAATAAGAAATGGAGCTTTAGTTCTCAAGGCTTTTCAAACCCTAGCATCTTCATGGAATAGCTCCTTCCCTTTGGTTTGTGAATCTTGAGTCTGTCCTGCCCCTTTTTTTCTTTCTGGAAGAAAATAAAATACCAGAATTTCCTCCAGTTATGACCTTGGTGGCTCACCATGCAAAACCCTAAGTAAACAGTGACAATTTGAATACAACTGCTGGGCTCCAGACCCCATGCTTTTGAACCATGCTCTAGGTGGGAATGTTTTATGAGCACATTTGGTGAATACATCAGTATTGAGCATAGTAGGCATGATGAGAGAGAAAAATCTTGAGAAACAGAGAGAGAATGCAGTGGGAAAGCATGGGAAAGAACAGGGATTGGAAGACAAAGAGGAAATGACAGAGCAGATAGTGGAAAGCATATTGACCGGGAAGAAATGAAAGCAGGGCTTACATTTTGGCAGAGAGCGACAAAACAAGAATTTCAAATAGGTTAAACCCAGTTTTTCAGCTTCCATGTCTACAGTCTCCCTGAAACTCAAAGACATTCAATTTGAAGAACCATAAATAGGTGAAATGTGATAAAATCATTTTATTTCTGTTTAAACCCTTGTTCTGTTGATTTGGTAAGTTTGGGTTTGGGGAAATATTCTTTCCACAAGACAGTCTGCATCCAGACAGAGGTATTTAACCCAGGGTTTGTGATGTTTGCTACAGAACCATGCACAACTAAGATTAGAAATAATCCAAGGTCTTCCAATAAAATCCAAAATGTTGAGGCTATGAGGACAAGGGATTATCCCCTTTGAAAAATGAATAGCTATGTTTTTTTTCTAAGTTTCTTTACTTTAGCTCCAAGCCATGTATCAAGTAATGGGGTGTTAACCAGGCATCAGGAGTTTTAAGGCGTTCCCTTCCAGGCACAAAATATGGGTACAGGAACTCCTCCTTCTCCTCCTTTCTAGCTTTTCCAGAAGGTATAAATGTCTTGAGCAATACATTAACACACTATGGGGTGGAAGAGACACTTATTGTGCCTGGACTCACAGTACATGTTGGTCATTGATTTGAGTCATATCATGACTGAATTAGGTGGTTGGGTTTCCATTTATCATTTTAAAATGATACATTCCCAGTTTAACAAATGGGTCTCAAAGTACAGACGTTATTTCTCTGGTCAGGCTACTCTTTGCTTGTGGCATGTTCCCTGGCTATGGAAAGGTTCCTTTCACACATGGGGAGATCACCATGTAGCCAAAGACCTCTGGCCAAATCTCTGGAGTTCTGTTTGTGGCTTACTCCTTCCTATCTGGTGTCCTGCCCACAAATTCGAGATACCTTGACTCAAAGTCTGATTCCTGTCTTCTCAACTCAACAAGAGCTCCGGGTTCTGTTTGGGTTCCACCTCTCTGGGCTTTGATCTAAAAATTACCTTCCAGGCAGTAAACTAGTGAAATCATAAGACTCACCTCATGTATTTTCCTTCTCTAAGAGATCACTGCCCTGTGCTACCTATTGTTCAGTGTCTGAAAACCATTGTTTCATGTACTTGTTTTTCTAGTTGGTTAAGGCATGAGGGTAATAAATCCAGTCCCCGCTTCTTGACCAGAAACTGGAGTTCCCTATTCAGTTTTGATGCGTTAACAACTGGAGTTAGAAGGTGGTCACAACTTTTTACTGCTAAATTTTAAGCTGTTTGCTCTAATCAGTAATGCTTTATTTAAAAAAAATAAGAGGGAAGCTGCTTTTATTTTATATACATTCTATCTTTGAGGTTTTATTGACTATTTTTAGCCATTCATTTTGTCATGGTTGATTATTTACTTCTTTATGTGCTTAGTGCTGTCTCATTCAATTACAAACAAAGAAACAAAAACCCCAACTCTGCAAAGTAGACATCTTCATTTCACAAAGAGGTAACTGAGATTCAGAGAAGTTAAGTTTAAATGTCATGGCATTGTTTTTGGCCCTCAGAATGTATGAATTAAACTCCTTGACACAAGTCTTAGGTTCCTTTTCCATACCAGTTTTCTTTTTACCTCTTTTGCTCTTTTTGGTCTTAATTTTTACATAATTATTGTTTTTCAAAGAGACATCTATAATTCTGCCTTTCATCATGCAGACTGGTTTCAATAGAAGAAGAAATAATTAGGGACCATTTTGAAAAGCTTGAATTAATGCTTAGGTAACTGGATTTAAGAAAATCATTAGCAATATGGTTTCTGTCAACATCATAGTTTCAAGGTATTTGGTTTCCTCGATATTTCATAATATTTTATAAACCAAATACTATCTTCATTTTGCAGGAGGAGCTGAAGATAAAATTGTTTCTTGGCAAAGGACACTTTTTGATTCAGAATGTAGATGTAGAATAAAAATCCATTAAAAATTGAACTGAAATGCATTAGACTGTCAGTTGCAAACTAGAGCCATACATTGCTACTCACCTCAATCTCATGTATTCTGTTTGGGATTTGCTTCCTTTCCTCATCTAATAATTTATGTGCTCAATGGCCTGAGTCACCATCACAAGAAATAAATAGAACCTAAGGATAAGATTTCAAGTTCCAGCCACTGCTAGAGTGAAGATGGAGTTTAGAATGCTAGCAATGGAAATCAATGTAAATTTCAACAGAGCAAAGCAGATATTGTTGAACATCACAGTAGCTTCTGAGACTTCTGAGTGCTGGTGTCACTCATGGGACACAATATATTAAGATTCCTATTATCGGACACCAGAAAATTGTTATGTATAAGAAACCCAAGACTTCATGTTAAAGGAATTTTGGTTCATACATTCTGAACGCCAAAAGGATGCCCTGACATTTAAACTTAACTTCTCTGAATCTCAGTTTCTCTTTGTAAAATGAAGATATACATTTTATAAAGTTTCTTTTTAAATTGAATGGGACAGCACCACCAGGTGAGCATAAACTCACTTGTTTACTGAGCCCTCTCTATGTGCACCACCATCAGCACACAGAAAAAGCTCAATAAACAAGTACAGTGACACATCACTTAACAGTGAGGATGCATTTTGAGAAATAAGTCTTAGGTGATTTTCTGGTGTGTGAACACCATGGAGTGCACTTACACACATCTTACACACACCTACACATCCTTACACATGGTATAGCCTACTACATAACTAAGCTAGCTTATTGTTTCTAGGCGGCATACGTGTGCAGCATGTTACTATATTGAATATTATAGGCAAATGAAACATACTGGTATCTGTGTATCTAAACAGAAAAAGTACAATAAAAATACAGCATTATAATCTTATGGGACCAGCATCATTGATTGAAATGTTTTATGGTATGTAACTATGCTTCTTTTTTACTTTCTATATAAAGAGCTCAAAAAACAAAATACTGAGGGTAATATGATCGTTTCAAATGATTACGACACAGTCAGTTTTACCAAATTGTATTCATTTTCACTAACTGGGAAGGCAATATTTGAAATAGGAAAGATAAGCACTTACCTTAATGTAATAAAAGGCTAAATTTAGTATCGGGGCAGGTAGGCATCTCAGAGGCCCTTTGTTCTGATTTTTTTTTTCTTTCTGTTAGTCAAAAAAAATAGGACCTCAGAAGTCTGCATTTATCTGAGATGAAGATTCCTTAGTAAATCTGAGACCCTTTCATTATTGTTCTGTAATTGCTACTTTATTAGGGGTATACCCACACTATTTTACTATCGTGGAATTGAATACATTTGAAGTTTGAGCAGCTTCACAAAGCAAATTGTGGTTATTTACATGTTTTCTTGCCCTTTCTATTTCCTGTCTTTGATCTGATGATAATTTAGAGTCATTATTAAATAGTTGTTATCTTTTGGAGTACAATAACTTTTACATAACCACTTTAATTTTAAAGGCATCTCAGTGGATTCTTTATGACGCCTACAAGTGCATGTAATAACAGTTGTCTTAGTCCATTTTCTGTTGCTGTAGAAGAATACCTGAGACTGGGTAATATACAAAAGAAAGAAGTTTGTCTAGCTCATTATTCTGGAGCCTGGAGGGCCAAGAATGGGTGGACACATATGGTCAGCTTCTGGTAAGAACCTCATGCTCCCTTATAACATGGTGGAAAACTGGAAGGAAACCAGGTGTGTGTGAAAAAAGGGCAAAACACAAGAGGCAGCCTCGCTTTATAACATCCTGCTCTAGTGGGAACTTATCCATTTCTGAGAGAACTAACTCAGTCTTATGGAAAAGACATGAATCCACCTTAATGACCGTGTTATTTACCTCTTGAGGACACCAGCTCCCAACACCACCACATTGAGGACCAAGCCTCAACCTGAGTTTTGGTGGGGACAAAGCATACTCAAACCACATGGCCAAGCTTAGACTTACGGTGATGCCGAAAGCTGCTGGCTTCCAGCCTTCCTTATCTCTCCCTAAGCATCATCCTTGAGAACCAAGTCTAAAGAAAAACCAAAGCTGTCTTGCTACCAAGCAGAATTTTGCGTTTATTAAGCCATAGGAATCTGTGGTAATTGGAAGTGCTGGGTCCAGGACCTTGTGTGAGGGTCAAGTTTTCTATAATGGGACAAAAAATGAGGGACCTCTTTTCTTTCTTTCGGTACTCTTACCAATTCAGAGCTCAAAAGCATATAAACACCCAGCAAGACCAGGCTACCTTGTGAAATATTCATTTGCCTTTCCTGTTTGCTAAAACTAACTTACATAATTTACAAATAAACTTACTAGAGAGTTATTTCTACACCTGCCTTAAGGGACTGTATAAGTTTTCATTATACCTCATCATGGTGGACTTAA